GGGTGGCCCTGCACGGTATAGCTCATGGCTTCACTGCGGTACGCAAGCCCCTTCGCCACAACAAGGCAGTGATCCATGAAGGGGCATAACTGTTTACTTTATCCTTATTTTCTTGAGAAGCATGGACATCCAAAAGATGATGGAAAACAATATAAGAAAGAACTTTCTAAGGCCTTCTCCACACTCATCTGGAATCCAAAGTATTAGAACAATTTCTGCTCCATTTGTGAAAATGTCTGCCTTTCACCGTGCTACAGCACTGATCAATTTACTATTCACTGTCTGCTTAATTTTTAAGATAAACTGAACTTCTAGCAGGAAGGTGCAGAAGCTAGAAAAGCTGGTTCACAGAAAGCAGGCAGACTCAGGCATGGTGTATTTTCATACACCAGAAAAGGTACAGTAACATTTCCTGCAACAAAATGGGCCAAACTGTATTTTTATTTGATAGTGAGCAGCACTGCCTGGTGGCCATAAATTATATCGTGCTGCTGTTAGAGGGAGAACAAAACACATACAACTGAATGCTGGTCATGTCCTTAAGTGACTTGTGACCAGATGAGCAGAATTCAGTTTAAAAATCTTGCATTCTGCTTACAGACGTTATTGCTTAACTTGGAGCAAACACATTTTAAGTTTTTCTCATTAGTTGCTTCAGTGAACATTCAAAGATAGGACAAGGATTTTTAAGCTAGAAACATACCACCCAAAGATGCTGGTCCTCTGGCACACGGATTATTACACTCAGGTCATTATCAGTGATATCCAGAACAATTCGGTTCTCTGCAACCACCAGACTCCGGCAACCATATCCATGTGGGCAGAAAGTAGCATTAGCTTGTCCTGAAAAGTCAGAAAGTAATCCTGCTCTAATCAACTGAACTTGTTTTGCTTTTATATGTTAGACCAGTTTCTCAACCGTGGCAACTTTAAGACGTGTGGACATGAACTCCCAGAATTCCCCAGCCACCTTGCTGGGTGTAGGTGAAGTCCACACATCTTAAAGCTGCCGAGGTTGAGAAACACTGCGTTAGACTATATCTCCTTATAGTAGCCAACATTTCACTATAAGTCTTCTGCCCTGTAGGAAACTAAGCAGAAACTGGTAGAGCTGATATCATCTGCTTTGGACACTCTTGCTTTTATACATTAGACCAGTTTCTCAACCTTGGCAACTTTGAGTGTCTCTGAGTCAGTGTTGACTCCTGGTGACTGCCTGGAAAAGTCCCTGCAGTTTTCTTGGCAAGATTTCAGAAGTGATTTGCCATGGCCTTCATCCGAGGGCTGAGGGAGAGTGACTGGCCCAAGGTCACCCAGTTGACTTCATGCCTAAGGCGGGTCTTCCATTTTCTAGCCTGATGCCTTCTAACCACTACACCAAACTGGCTGTCCTAGGACACATACTACAATCTGTAAGAAGCTTTGTTGTTGTTCAGTCGTTAAGTCATGTCCGACTCTTCGTGACCCCATGAACCATATTGCGCCA